TTTTTTTTTTTTTTTTGGATCGCTTTAGACCAAATACACCGAAACTCAGCCGTGCCCAAATTTCGACCCATTGAACTCGGACAGGTCCATGCTGCCACTAAGATATTATCAAGCTGATCGCCAGCACGGCGCAGAATCATGGGAACAGCAACTCCCCTTAATAGAGCCACCTGGTCGCCACAGGCCATGCCAAGAGGACCTGAGCCGATGCATCCGTCTCTGGTGACGAAGAGCATCCTCCTTGCGGCTAGCTGGCTGCAGCAGCGGATAGTGAAGCGAAAAACCTCGTCATCGTGGCTGAGGGAGCTTATAACAGAACAGGTTTCCGTGGCGGCCGGGGCATTGGTGGAAGAGTCTTGCATCAAACGAAGCCACCTCTTGAAAAAATCTCCATGCCCTGGGGGTTGAAATTGCTTCACTTCCCATCAACGCCCGATATATTTTGAGCAGAATTTCTTGGTCGTCTTCGCCAATCTGGCGCGATGATGACTCTCCGATGACCTGTACCCATTTGATGAAGGATTTGATTGTCTCCGTGATGGTTTCTGTGGCCAATGGATTCCAGAATGCTTCCGAGTGTGTCGCAATCTCCTGGAATTCCGCAGAGCAGAACCCGATTTTGCCCTTCATAATCGACCACAAGCCCAGTTCCTGGCCCGAGATCTTCATCTGTGGCTCTGGAAGAGAAGCACCGTATAAGTCGGTATAGCTGTAGACATATTCTGAATCAAGCCAGTTCCTTTGGTGTAGTGAGCTTCAATCTGGTGGCAAGGACAGCAAATATGACAAATAAAACTCACAAAATCAAAATAGCAAGATGCCCTCGGCTTTGACCACCCATCTAACTTAGTACCTACATGTGTGCATGCTCAGTGATAAATTGTAGTTTGCTCCTTCGCCTAGCCAATCTCTCATTGAATGCCTCGTCGATTCGGCTTTTCGGCAATCGCAGAATCGCGATAATTACATTGCGGCGTAATGGTCGCTGGAGTCGTATCGCGTGACTCCTTCTTGCCTAGCGCAGCGACGCTTCATGTAAGGTACGCGAAGAATGCACCCACTCGTGCATTAAATTGATCGTTAGGTAGGTTGTCATACCCGGTTAGGGATCTAACCTTGGCGGCCCGTTTACCGCGATACCCTGTTGGTCCCCAAATCCTTGTAAGCTAGCAGTGTGACTGAGTGCCTAATAAGGTCTTGTCACCAGCTTAACGCAGAAATGGAAATTTGGCCGCGAAAGTTCGTTGGCCCGTGTCGAGGCTGGATCCCTTATTAACAAGGGTCGATCTTCAGCGACTCATAATCCTTTATCTCGTTCCCATACCCTCAATTAATCACGAGTACGACGTAATTCAGTTGAGTCGTTCTTTCTAGCTCTTCAAATTGGCTGTCAAGATGCCATCTATTTTACAACTTGGTTTGCTTACCTTGGGGTCATTCACCTTCGCTTTTGGTCAGCTACAGACTCTTAGCATAATACCATCAGGGGTCATTGAATCGATCCCGGCAGCATTGGGTTCATCATCGCCATCCTCGTCAAGCCCAAGGTTATCGTCATTCTCGACCTCAAGTTCGTTGTCTAGCAGGTTCTCAACCACGGTACCCTCAACACCAACACCAACCAGCGACAACCCCCTCGTCCTTACCACGCGTTTTACTCAACCTTCCGAATGTAGCGGCGGTGTGACCCAAGTGGCGTCGTGGTCGACCGAGCTGTGGCAGAATGTCGTCAACCCCGTACCAACTCTGACCTTGTCCTCCTGCTATCCTAGTCAGTTCTACTACAGCGCTGTGGCTACCACCACGCTGCCTCCGTACACAGAGCTGGTCTGTCCCCTCGATTGGGAGACGTACCCAATCACCGATACTTACATTGTTTGCTGTCCTAGGTATGCAGCTGAGCTTGACGAAAAGACTATGCTAACTTCCCCCAGCGGCTATGGAATCTATCTCCCAAATTATCACAGCACGGAACGCCCCGGACTCGGCGCCATCTGTACTTCCAGCGTCTGGCCAGACGAATTGATAGACATCACCAGCTACGATTCCACGGGGCTGGCAACCATTATCCCCACGTCCGCTGACGATAACGGAACCTTGGTATTTGCGACTGGATTTGATGGGACAGCAGCACCATCTATCGCCAATTCGACTTCAACCCCAACTTCGACTTTGACTTCGATCTCGACCTCAACCTCAACCTCAGCCCCCATTGCCGGCACATCAACCAGCTCCGCATTCGCCACATCCGCCTCCATTACTTCTACCTTCGTCGCTGTTATCTTAGGCACCTTTCTATCAGCAACCTCTCTTATGTTAAATTCCATCACATACCCTTGATTTCCAACTCCACCTCCATCTCTCGGCGTCCATCGTGCGGTGTGAGTCATGCTCTATACATGAT